TATTATATTCTGTAATAAGGAGCTTGTTTTTCAAAGAAAGGAAGGTTTAATATTTTCTAAGAATCATGCTTTTTTTTTTTAATTATTTTTGCTTTTAAGCCATAAAAAAAAAAAAAAAAGGAAAAGGTTAGCAACCACAGCAGTGTAAAATGTTATATAGAACACAGCGACTACACAGGTACTAGAAGTTTCACATCCAATGCAGTTATGTATTAAAGCATAAAAGGTTATGTAGGCAAGTCTAGAGCCAACAGAAATCTGCAGAGCGCGTGGTGGAAACCAGCCCCTTTCCATGTCTTTTGGTTTTTTGGTGCATCTCTCAGCCATCCTGGCTGTGCCACTCCGGGGTGCGTCCCCGCGTGGCTCTGCTGTGGGTGGGCACACGGCCCCCCCACCTGCCGTGCCCTGGGGTCTGCACATTTCTATCAGCTTTAGGAGACGGGTATTGCAGCAATAACTTACTTTTTACTTGAAGGAAAAAATCCAACTCTTAATAATTCTATCGACAGCGTTCCAAAAAACATGACTTAAAGTACAAAAAAAGAGAATATAGCGGTCGGGTTCCCGGTATTATCAAAAAAAGAGTTATCTATCTCTCCCCACCCCCCACCCTTCACCCCTTTCTTTTCGGTATTTAAGAAAAGCCAATCAACTGCCATTTAAAAGAAGTTAAGAAAAACAAGCCCCTGTATTGGAAAGAAACATTCGCAGTTTACTAGATCACAAGCTGGTTACACCTGTCAAATTGTTAAGTGTTTTCTCAAAATATTTGGGCTTTCCAAGGTGCCCAGCCTGCTGGGCACAGTCCGAAAAAGGCATTTTGATAATATCTAAGAACTCCCTGCTTGCGTTTGGAAAATGCTTTCGCATTTTTGTAACTGCCTCAAGCCTGTCGTCCTTGCTTTGCAGTGAGTGGCAGGATGAGCGAACAGAAGGTGGAGGTGGAAGGACCAAGCCCGCGGAGCTCGGGCTGCGCGTGTGTGACTGAGAGTTGCTGCTGTGCAGTCGGAAAAGAAACGTGGAAAAAACCCCAGTCTGTAAAACACCCCACAGAAACAAAACACTGCAATCCAATATGGCTTAATTCTGATGCATTTACCATGAAGCTACTAGTAATTAATCCTACTAGGCTACTTTTGTGCAACAGCATCTGCTAGTTCGATGGCATCTCCCTCCCCCCGCTACCCCCCCCAAATACTCTACCAACTGCAGGTTTCTTCCTTGCATTATATATTGCTTTTATTGTCAATTTTCATTCCTGCTTTTCAAACTTTTTTTTTTTTTAATACTTTAACAAGGATCTGTTCCTTACAGTTTGACTTAAACTTTACAATAAGTCCCGTTGTTTTGTTTTTTAACCTCACTATTACAAGGCGCTCTACAAAAGCTTGCAAAAAAGCCAAATTTTCATTAAATCCCTTTGCTGAAGTTAACTACTTGACTTTTTTTTTTTTTTTTAATTGTCCTATGATTTAAAACTTTACAAAGAGAGTTATAAAAAAGGTAAATGGGATTTGGCACCTTCAGAAAAAATTAAAAGTGTAACTTAGATCAAAAAAAATGCAGAAACAAAATCATTGATATTTACAAATTAAAACACCAGTGAAGATTATGTCTTACTACGCTCTCTCACCTTGTTTTTCTCTCTCAGAGTACTGTCAGACTGTCTGCTACCGAGCATCTTAAAAAATTCATTGATTACAGACTGGAATGGATAGAGACACGTTAGTTTCCTCACAGTTCGTTCTCGGCGGCTGAGTACTCCGGCAGAGCTGGTCGCTCCTAGGAAATCCGAGGCGCGGAGCGATCGTTCGTGGTCGTCTTCTTCAGTTTGACCCCGCGCCGAATGGCGTTCAGCATGTCTTCACCCTGGGGGGCCTCCCCGGGACTCAGCTCTCCGGGATCCAGCTCCGTCTGGCCGGGGGGTGCGAGGCTGCCGGCCCCATCCCTCTCGTTGTCTTCCCCCTCGCTCTCGGGAACCCCCTGCCTCTGCTCGTCGGCAGCGCTCAGTTTCTGGCTGGAGGCCGGAGGGTTGACGGACGCTTGGCCGCTCCACGAGGAGGAGGGCATGCTGGTGGCACCTTGGCCACCATCTCCCGCTGCTGGAGAGTCGGGGCTTTGCTCGGGACACTCTTCGGTCCCAGCCAGGGCGCCGGGCAGCCCCCCTGGGATATCGGGGACGGTCGGCGTTTTGACAGGAATCACCGGCGTCTTGATGGGAATGGGGCCTCCCCCGATGGTGCCGCGTCGGACCGAAGGCTTGGTGGAAGGGGTCCGTCTGATGGTGGCCACGCCGGGGGTGACGATGACGGGTCCCAGGGTGGTGGGCAGACCTGCGGTGGAAGCGGGACGCTTGGTTTGAAACATTCTGCGATAGGACTGGCTAATGTCGCTGTTTCTCGGGATGGTGGAGGATTTGTCAAACTCTTGTTGTTCTGCCTCCTGGTCACCACTCACAGAGAAATAATCATAATCTGAAACTGATGCCAAAAGACAGAATTAGGAACAAGCTGGAGAAAACAGCTCAGTCGTGTCAGTAAGTCTAAAGTATGTATAACTAAAAAAGTGTATATAACCAAAAAAGCTTGGAGGTCAATAGCAATTAAGAGAGGTTTTAGGATAGTGTGACCAGGAATGTCAGAGCGCGTGGCTGGGGGCAGCCCTACAGCAGAGGGACCCTGCAGCTGCAGGGTGCCCACCTCTCTTATGGAAGAGACCTTCACACACTCAGTACCTTCTCTGAGAAGAACTAATGAAGTAACAAAGACTCAATGTTTGTTGCCAAAATTAAGACACCAAACCCAGCATCCTACAAGCCATATGCTACCACTTGTAGATACAAATACTTAAAACAGTCAGTGACTAAGAAGGTACTTTAGATGAGGCAACGTGGGGCTCGGGGGAATGTGTACCAGTGATTTCAGCAGCAAATTTGCTTATTTTGCAAACGAAGTAAATCCCAGCTGCCAGGTCTGAAAACTCAGCCTCAGCTTTAATAATTGCATCGAGTTCCTTCCTTTCCAGGGAACTGCTGAGCCAAGCTGGGCCCTCTGCAAGCCCTCCTGCCTCTTGTCACTGAACACCATGACTGGCCTCAGCTCAGCAAACAAGGGGGTTTCTGAACTGCCAACACCAAACTGTCCCTCTCAGGTCACTGCTGCTTCTGAAACCCAACACCCTATTGCACCTTCCCAGGTATGCCCAAGTTAAAGGTCTCCAACGGATTCTTTTTCCAATTAGGGCAATTTCTGCTTAGCTGGGAAATAAGAGGTCACAAAGGAAACCAAGAGCAGATTCAGAGAACTGACAGAGCAAGACAGCAAAGCTTGTGAGTGTGCATCTGCCAAGAGAGTAGCTCCAAAAGGACACTACCACCACAAGAAGTGTACGAGCACGTTCTTTAAAATGGTAGCATCCTTAAGCTAAAACTCATCCCAGCAATGCACAAGAAAATGCGACTGTTCAGTGCTCTATGCAGCAATCCAGGTTTCTATTTAGTTAATGAATCCAGGCTGCATTCCAAGCTGGAAAAAACGTCACAACAGCAATGTTCACTCCCTTCTCCCCAGCTGACTACAAAGGCAATGAGTGATGGCTGCTGGAACACAGCTCCTTGGCACTAAGGGGTGAGTGTACGATGGCCAGGCTGGGAAAGCTCTGAAAAAGAACATCTCTGGGATGGGTACCTTGAGATGGGATGGTGTCCTCTGAACAGCACGGAGTTGTTGTCTGGGTGCTGTAGCCACTGGAGCACTGCAAGGAATCCCGACTGCTCCTCTGGGTGTCCAGCTGCAGCCCTCTCGTCAGAGCGAGCGCCAGCTCCTCGCAGGCCTCCATCTCCTCACCCTGCTGGTTACACACAGGAAGGAGACTCATTATGTCTAGAAGGGTTAATCAATCTTCACCAACTATTAGCTGTCTCTCCTCCCAAGCAGAGCTTGTGACCATCACAACCCAAGAGGATTGACTCCAACCATTTACTGGAGCTTCAAAGAAAGAGACTCTTCTTTGGATGCTGTTGCTCTACAAACACCAATGCCCAACAGCATGTTCTCATGTCGCTTCCACTGATCACCCCAACACCACACCAGGTGGATAAACACGTGCCAACACCCAGCACGGCACACACATATTGGCAGGAGCTACCACATCTTCTTCCCTTGCACCAAATAGCATATTAGAAATTAGAGCCTCACCCTTGTGGCAGCTGACACCGTCATGCTCCGAGGTCTCTGGGCCTCCTCAGGGGACACGGGTGGCCCACTCTGAGCTCCTCCATTGACATCTGGTTCGCGCTTTTCTTTGCGACGTTGCAAGGTGTTCACCACTGGCTGATCGTATGGGCCTGGTTTGGCCCAGTCCTAAGGAAATGTCCTTGTTAGTGACAGCTTTCATCAGTAATTGTGCTTTAATTACAAGTAAAACTATGCAAAGGGGCAATTTTAGTGCAACAGGTTATGTATCAAAATGGATATGCCTTTCTGAATAGGCCAGAAATAAATTAATTTTGAGGATATTAAAAATCTTCACTTAGAAATCCTATCTCCTCCATCAAAGGGAATCTAAATTTCAATCCTACCTAAGTGTTCTTATATGAAGATATTTAACATGTTAGTACTATAGTTTTCTCTAAATGAAATTCCATTGTGTTAAAGCCTATATTTTCAGAAATTCAAATGCAAAAATCACTGGCACACAGCAGAAAATGTACATAAACTTCCAATTAGTGATGTAACTGTTCTAGATGTACCCAAGTTCTAGTAGTACGTGCTGTTAAGCATGTCCTCAGTTCTGAAAAATTAGGCTTGAACAGTTTTGATACACATTAGAGGAGCAACTCTGAGTAATCTCTCAGTTTACTTACTAGCTGAAATCTAGATTATAATAATGGGGAAAGACTTAACTTCACTCTGAATTACTGGTGCCCAATTTGCAACAGAAATTCCTCAGGCCAGGAGGGCTGTATTCACTCAGGGCTCTATTAAGCACAGTCCTGAGGGTGCCCAGGAGCCACAGGTGGCACACAAAGCGAAGAGCAGGGCTGGTCAGGGCGCTGCGCTGGGACACACAACCGCTGCCAAGCAGCAGCTCCCCAAACACCAACTGCCACAGGGGCCAGCCCCAGCCTCAGAGAGTCCTCCCTCCCCGAGACAAGGGCTGCTTTAAAAATAAAACCAGAAACAACTTGCATGTGAGAGCGGGGCACGCACCCCACCGCTGGCAGCAGCCGGCTGCTGAGCAGCCTCCGCGCTGTCTCCTGCTAATTAATTAACAAGGGGCTAAGACCACACTATAGATTATTACTGACGTGTCTCAGTCCAAGGCATGGGAAGTGCAGGGGGCTGTCCTGACGGAGCCCCTCCTGCAGACGGGGATTTGGGGTTTATTAACACAAATGAAACTCTGCTTTGCCTTAACAGCTGTGTCTTTGCTGCAAGTGTTTTGCTGTGGAATACAATGGCAAAGTGCTTCCAGCAGAGAGACAACTAGTGACCCTGCAGCCCCAGGACCACTGTGGCCACCCTGTGTGTATGTCTCAACAGTCTCCAGCTGCTGGAGAGAGAGATTAAGGGGATCTGTAATGAGGTATCTCAATCTACACGTGTAGGAAGGTCCTATGGCGCATATGCAGTATCATAGAACCATCCACAGGCATCTAAGACCTGGGCAGCTACTACCAACTGCATACCAGCCTTGAGAGACTCACAGCAACAGACAAGAGACCTTCTCCCTTTGCTCCGGGCAGAGTCTCCCAGAGGAATGAGAGTCAAGGCTCTGGCAGAGCAGAGACGTTTGGATGCCAAGGAAGATCCCTGCAGATCCAGCTGGAGCAACTGAAAGAAGTTCCTGCACTCCGACTTTTTCAGTGGTCTCACCCAAGGGAGCAAAACAAGCTGTGTGAGCCCTCCCAGCCCGTGGCAGTAAAGCCAGGACAGCTTCAGTCACCCCTTGGGTTCTCCTGGTGACGAGCACCTTCATAAACTGCTCCAGCTGGATCTACAGGAGCATGGCTGCCTACAGGGGCCGAGCACAGCCGCTGCAGGGAGAAGATCAAGGTATGGTTTCAATAAGCCAACTGGATGCCAAGCCTGTACTTCCCTGCTCCAGTGAGTGCCCTGAGAGTGCTCAACAAGCTCTCTTCTCGCTGAATAGAGCCCAGAGTGTTTTCACCAACGTCCCAGAGTTACACTGTCCCTTCCTACCTAAGCGTTGTCAGCCTTAACACGTTTTAGGCAGTGCCAGAATAGACAAGGTCATTCAGAAATATCCACTACCAGATTTTAGCTCTCCGATTTATCACCATGCAGGGCCCATTCAGAGTGATATTAAACAGAGCAAATCAAGGAGTAATTACATGGATCGAAAGGTAGCAACAACCGCCGTGCGCACACTGTTGGTATGAGGAGGTGAGGAACTGCCACAACAAAAGGAACACAAACCTTCCAGCTAGGGATCTTAGATGATGGTAACATGCCTGGCCCAATGGTGTAATAATGAACGTAGTCTGGAAGGAGGGCTGAGGGAGCCCGAGTCCACGCGCGGGAGACAGGCGGGAAATGAGGGAAAGGACCTGCACCAACTGAAGCTACGGATGGGTCACTTGATAAACTACAGTGATAAAACCCATTAGACAACTGGAAACGAAACAAATAAACAAACAAAAACAGAGAAATTAATATAAACAGAATGAATATGAAAATACACTGTGACTCTCATGTTCTAGGGAGAAAACTTCTGTATCTTAACACAAAAGAAAGAAAAATCGTAGCTTTGCTGCAAATAAACAACAGACAATTGATACAATGCTTGGTTGAGAAGTGAGACTGCTTGAAAATTGTTATCTGGTGTAACAAATTTCAGACATCAGTCTAGCAGTCATTGTCTCCAGGCTGGGCAGCTTTGCCTCCTGTCCACGAAAGCAGCGCACTGCGAAAAAGCCTTTGCATTTAGGTTCCCTGCAGACTGCGGACACAGAAACAACACATTTCCAATACTGGAGGCATTGGCATTGGTGGCGTTTATTCTATGTAGCTGGACAGAGAGGAAAAGCAAACAGCCTTCGAAAATGACGTGTGCTGGTCGTGTGATGATATGGAGAAAAAAAAAAAAAGAAAAAAAAACAACAGCAAGGATTTACCAGATGAGAATGGAGACCGCTGTCACCTCCTCCCCCAATTCAGAGTGTATCCCCCGTGATTTATTCCACCTGCGTGTGGTTTGGTTGGCTTTTTTTCCTTTTTGTTTTGGTCAAAACCACATCCCGATTGCTCAGTGCAGTACGTGCTGCCTGACGGGAGGGAGGGGAGAAGCCACAAATGGTACCACCTGGTCAAGCTGCTCTTTGTCGGGCAACCAGCCGGGTTTGGGCAGCCTTCCACAACCTCTTTGAGCAGAAAAGGCAGACAAAGAGCTTTTCTTAGATAATCACCTCTGTAAAACACCCCATTTGTAGCTTTCCCCTAGCAGTTAGTTTAAAGGCAAGTGTCGCTGTGATTTATTCAGATTCATTTCTAAGGGAGTGGGGGACAGTTCCTATTCTCATCTTCCCAGGGAGGAATCCAGGCTGCATCCCATGCACAGATGTTTTGTTTTTTATCCAAATGTTGCTGGGTTTGGATAATGAGCTAGTAGGTTTGTATGTCTTTGAGATGAAGTTTTTCACCTTATCTGTGGAGGCCCAAGCCCCCATGGTGGAGCCTGAGCTGACTGAGGTGGGGGAACTGCACTCGCTCACTGACTGGCAGGTTTCAGAGGCTTCTGAAGAGGCAGAGCTGGACGAATTCTGCAGCGTAAAACAGCACCGCAAGGCAGGGAAAGGATACACAGGCCACCAAAAAAAGAAACAAACCAAACAAAACCAACACACACACACACAAAAAAAAAAAAAATTGCTCAGTGCAGTACGTGCTGCCTGACGGGAGGGAGGGGAGAAGCCACAAATGGTACCACCTGGTCAAGCTGCTCTTTGTCGGGCAACCAGCCGGGTTTGGGCAGCCTTCCACAACCTCTTTGAGCAGAAAAGGCAGACAAAGAGCTTTTCTTAGATAATCACCTCTGTAAAACACCCCATTTGTAGCTTTCCCCTAGCAGTTAGTTTAAAGGCAAGTGTCGCTGTGATTTATTCAGATTCATTTCTAAGGGAGTGGGGGACAGTTCCTATTCTCATCTTCCCAGGGAGGAATCCAGGCTGCATCCCATGCACAGATGTTTTGTTTTTTATCCAAATGTTGCTGGGTTTGGATAATGAGCTAGTAGGTTTGTATGTCTTTGAGATGAAGTTTTTCACCTTATCTGTGGAGGCCCAAGCCCCCATGGTGGAGCCTGAGCTGACTGAGGTGGGGGAACTGCACTCGCTCACTGACTGGCAGGTTTCAGAGGCTTCTGAAGAGGCAGAGCTGGACGAATTCTGCAGCGTAAAACAGCACCGCAAGGCAGGGAAAGGATACACAGGCCACCAAAAAAAGAAACAAACCAAACAAAACCAACACACCCACACACAAAAAAAAAAAAAAAGACAAAAAGCAGATACACAGAGACACACACAGGAGAGAGGGAAGGATGAGAGAAGCAGAGGGTTAGGGTTTTAAAAATCAATTAGAAACTGCTCAAAACCATTGCTAATGTTCAGGAAATCTACGAGAAACAAAACAAGCCATTTGCTTAATGCAAGAACTTGCCACGCTGCTTGAGAATGAGGGAATCGAGGCACCGACCTCACCCCCTCATTGCAATTTCAGCGTCCCAATTCTGGTAGCTGTCTCAGAGCAAGAAGCTGAGGGAGCTGAGGGAACCTACGGTCCGAACATGCAATATACCGAGACAACTGAGTTTATACAGAAAAGCAGATCATCAGTGCTTCAAAGACATAAGTTAAGATTTAATACATGGAGCAGCAAACGTCACTTACATTCACAAGTTCTCAGATATTCTGATCTGCAAAAGTGCTTGTGAAAAGCTCATCTGAGTTTTATTACAGAACAGAGAAAGAAGTGATACTTACCAAAGCTGGAGGTTTCCAAAGTGCATTGTCTGTATGCATGTGCCTCTGTGGGTCGTATGCATACACCAAGAGCACTCTGACTCAAACTTTTCTGCCCAGCAGCCAACATGAAGGTACATGTACTCTGCTGAGTGCATAAACGGTGGCTTGTGCTTGCCACCCACCTCCTTGTAGCAGCAGAGAGAGAAAACATCAGGGGCTTGGATGGAGAGGGAAGGAAAATGCAGGACATCGAGCGTCCATCAAACACCTCAAACATTTAGCTCCTAGCTAGGAACTCCTCTTCCACTTTTCGGTGCACGCCTTTATGTTCCTTTCCTGCTGTGAGACCTCTACAACAGCATCTAATTCACCTTCACACAGGCCAAGGTGAATGACCACGTGGAGCATTTTACCAACTACAGAGCTGTCACACATCTCCCCCTCCAAAGTGGCATCACCCTCAGTAGGGATGTGTGTGCAGGTCCAACCGAGGGCTTGCAAATGGTCAAGAATACTGGCAAAGTTGTCAGGGCACTACTGAGCTCTAGTCATTGTCAGGAAATTCAACACTAACTCATCCTTTGGTAGTCCAAGACCCGTGAAGCAAGTCTATCTAAGGGTATCCCTGGCATTTTATTTTATGACAGCAGAGAGAACGTGCTCTTGTATCAAGTTTGTGTAGCAAAGCCTCAGATTTCAAGGAATGATATTTTGAAGAAGGGAAATCTCATCTGAAATAAAATGTCATCAGTTAACCTTAGATGAGATCTTGGGGTGAGACTGCAGTAAAAGGACAGCTGGATAAAAGGCACTTAGAGGAGTAATTACTGCCAACACCCAGAAGTTGTCTCACTGCTCACCAGAAGCCAAGTATAAGGAATGTGTAGCCAACTGCCTGGGTAAAGCTGCTGGTCTCCCGAGACGGGATACCATCACCCTAAGGATTTTGGTGAAGACTGTTGGGGTTGTTGAGAAGCCAATACAATATCAGTATCCTGAGCCTATTAGCAAAATGGATTTAAATGAAACTTTGCATGTAACGTGCTGGACTATTTTACAGAAATAATGCACACCCCATCTTACCCTGACATGAGATCAGATCTGTGGGTGACCTGTCAAACATGTTTAGGGTAGAAGTAAGCTCAGCTCACAAGGCTTGTATTCAAAGTGCAGTAAGAGTTGAGGCGAAAATAAGATCAGAAGAAACTGCCAGAAATGACACGTAGCTATCAAGGAGAGAAAGGAGAAGGATGCACTGGGGTACCGTGACTTGATTTGTAGAACTTGTCACATTTTTGATTTAATGCAACTCCTTTTACAGAGACAAACCTCTAAAAATAAGAATAGTGACAAACATGAGCTGCCGTTGACTCTGCCATCAGACATAACTACAGTACACTAAATGGAGACAAGCCAATTTTTTCTATCTTTAGAAAACAATACATTATACAAAATTAGACTAAAGCTCCAAGTTCTGCCTGACATTCTAGGTAGCTCAACAAAAGAAACTGTTTGAAAAGCCCTGTGAGAACACTCACACTAGTGTTACTCTTTAGCCAGGGGGGGAAAAAAAAAAAAAGAGAGAGAAATATAATAATATAATTTGAGAAAATCTGTTCTGAAACCTCGTTCTTATGCCCCAAAAGACCCTCCTTGGTCTGGGTCTGTATACTCTGCACATGGCAGGACAGACAGTGAAGAGCCTGAGTGCCAAATACTGTATTGCCAAAACTACCTTGTTATCAGGGCACCTGCAGAAAACAAGTGAGGATTTGGTGTTTACAGCCAATAGACTATTCCTTTTTATAAACCAGAAACTTCAAGAGCTTATGTGAAGCATTAGTAGAAATGGGTCATAAATGTTTATTAGCAATAAAGCTGCATGTAGTAACTAAATGGAAAAAAGCCAAAAATGTAAATTCTGAAGATGCAAAGAATTGTTCAATTTGTTTGGTGTATGGGGAAAAAAGACTGTAAGTGGTGAACTTATTTTTGCAACAAAGTGACTCCAAGGTGAAAGAAAGATGAAAGCAAGGACTCCTGCACTAACTCAGTTTGGCCATTTTCAACAGGCACAGCTGGGCAAAGGACAAACCAAGATGCCCTGGGGAAAACACCTTGGTAGTTGAAGGAAATGCAAGAGGTGGTGGTAGGAGAACAGGGTCTCCTTGTCTTGAGAAACTTGCATGGCACAGGGAAGGGGAGCCTCTGGTCTTGCTAAAAAAGGATTACAACAGTGAGAAAATGATGGAGAGGGGGCAGAATGACACTGAACTCCTGAAGGAGAAGTGCAAAGAAAAGGCAGGCGGCAGCAGGCTCGGATCAGACTGCAGAAACTGTCCCAATGGTTGAACCTGGGTGTGGGAAGCACAGACCACCCTTCATTTCTTAGCAGAAAGAACACCAGGGGCTGAAACCAGAAACTGCACAGTTACTGCTTGGGCAAAAAGTCTCCAAACTTCTGAGTGCTTGTTCCAGCCACACACCCACCAGTACACGTGGCCCTGCACAGGCAAACACTGGGCACAGCGATTCCTACTCCACCTCCCATGGAGTGAGAAACCTGACTGTGGGATTTTTTTTCAACTTATTTTAGTTGATCCCATTTTAAAATGATTGTTTACTTTGAGCCGTTTTTAAAATTAATTCTTTCATTTGATCTATTTTTACCCTGGGAGATTTATTTTATTTTCCCGCAGCTGCGATAATGGTGATTCTGCTCTGCTCTCAAACCACCTCTTCTGCCAAAAAGCTTGAAGTTAACAGCATCAGCAGAAAGCTAAAACTGTGCCCTGCAAAGAGACAACCAGTTCCTCAAAGATACTTTACAGGCAGTAGCTTGGTATCTGGTCTCTCTGACATTGTGCTACAGCTTGTTCTTGGGTAGTGTCCCGCTGCTTGGTGTGCTATGTATGAATTCCAGCAAGGATACAAAAAAAAAAAAAAGCTGTATTTTGGGCTACTGGACTGTATAATTATATTCTCCATCTGTTGTCCTACTAACCTATAAAAGGACTGCAGTTACCTTGGATTACTCTCAATCCTTTGTTTGCTACATTTTCCATTCAAATACAGTATTGTTTTCTTAACCCCTTCCCTTCCTCAATTACTCAACAGCTTCCTGGGCAAGGGTTTCCCAGGAGACCAAATCCCAAAGAAAAGCCTGGTCCAATGTCCTTCTACAGTCAGTGGAAGACATCTCAGTTACCTTTCAAAAAGCTTTGGATGGTGACTCAAGGTCACCTCCTCAATTTGTCTCACTTTCTGGAACACGTCTCTACTGAACCCTTTTTTCTAGTCAGGAACAAACTGTAGGGAAACTTAACTTTAAAAAGGAAGGTTAGGAGAAACAAATATTGGTGATAATTTACAGATGCATTTCTGTTCCTTTGGGGTTTTTTGGTCTTGATTTTTTTTTTCAGGTCTGATTTAGAAGCACTTCTTAATTTACATGGAAAACCGAAGAGTTGTAACAATATATTTTCCCTATTCTAACTTCAAACTATTTCAAGCAATGGAGCCTCTCCCAAAGCAGGATCTTTCCAGCTTGCTAATCTGTACAGGCAGAGGCACGCTCACATTCAATTTCCCTCTACTTCACTGTTTAGGGAAAGCAATTTCCAGAATATTCTAACAATAAAGCCTGAGTCCTCTGCTGCTTGACAGCACATCAACAGTTTTTTTCATCTTCTTCATCTGCTTCTTTTCTCTCCCCTTGCTTTCATCCCCACGAAGTCATAAGCAGCCTCTAAAATCCGACTGTATAATTGCTTCCTCTGTGCGTCTTCACTCCAAGTCCAGAGAATCCTTCTATTATTATCCCCCTAAATCAAACATAACCGCACGACTACCATATTGCTTCATCCCAGATACTGCCAGATCTCAGTTTGCCCACTACATAGAGCAACGTGTGGGTTTAGCAACACCAGCCATGTCCAGTGTTGATCCAAGAGCTACCCTGTGCTCCCAGCAGCAGGTCTGTCAGAAGGGCTTTACGTGGTTTCAGTACGTGCCATGGGCAACGCTGGCCAGGGCTGACCTCAAATCTGGCATTTAGGGAAAGAGACCTGTGATGCTTTTCCAGGTGTTCAGCTATACACAAATGCACTTGCTTAATTAAGATTAAAACACTTTACAAGGACCTTTCCACATGTACAGCTATCTGTTACAGGCTAACACTTTCCCTCCCAGTGATCTTAACAGAGATGCTGCAGAAAAGAGATCGTATGAAACCAGTGTAAGGGCAGAGTCTGGTTTTATAATCCCTCTTTTTTCCTATCTTCGATTCAGAGTGTCATAACTGTAAAGACTTACTACTCAGCAACTATAGGCTTAGAAGAATCCTTCATTTTGCCCATCATCTCTCCTCTGGTACAGTCCGTTATTTTGTTTAAATCTCTACTTACTCCTTGTTTGACTGTTTTTCCCCCCATCTAGGGTTTTGAATATATTCAGTTTAATTTTCAGTGACACTTGCTTGTCTAAAACCTAGGTGAGAGCATAAAAGCTTCACATAGCTCATATAGTCTCATTCCTGTAATATGGGAATTATGTAGCTCTCTTCTAATTTTTTTTAAAAATCCATTATTAAAAGAAAATGGGTTTTGCTGCCTTCAAAACTACTGCTGCCAGTAGATGCCACAGCATGTAGCTAGCAAACATCAGCAAAGTGTCCACCTGTGCAAGATATATAGCTTTTAATTTCCTTTGTTGATTCCAGAGCTTGCTTTTCTGCTGTCTGGGTGTCACTACCAGAAACAATGACATCAATGTTTTTGGAACAGTCAGCAGCCGCTACCGCTGCTGCTCCAACCCACCCACCACCGAGCCTCAAAAGCACACCACCACGAGGAAGATCTGTCAGTTGGTTAGAGACACACAACATGAAAAAACGCTGTAAATTGAACAGCTTCTCGGTAAGCTCACGATCACAATTATCTGTCAGCACAACACACACATTTTACTTAGTGCTGAACATACAAAGCAAGACACTGAAGCAAAGATGAAGCGGCCAGGCAATGATCTGTTACCTTTTCCTCTGCGTAAAGGTATACAGAACCAGAGACATACAGAGCACATACCTACTTGTTATACCAACACACTACGCTTGTCAAGCCTTCTACAGCTCACGAATAGCTCAAGTGATGCTGGGGTCGGTTTGCAACTTTATGGAGAGTTTCTCAAATGAAGTGAAAGCGTAGGAACTTAGCTGGTGTCAATCAGCGTGACTCCCATCAGCTCTAAGATGTTCCGCCAGCTGATACCGGCCTAAGTTCTCCCCCCTGCTTAACAGGGGAACTTGCAAAGGGAGGTGGTGGGTTTTTTCCATGCTCAGGGCAATTGCAAAGTTACATCTTCATCTGCAAACACAGCATCATCATGTAGATTACCGCCCTTTTATGCGGGTGCAGTGGATACTATGAAAACCAAAGATGATGCCAGCATGTATAACTGAGGTACGTATCTTAGAAGTCAGCTTCCTTACCTTGTCACTATTCCAGTTTACTTTATTATTGCTCATTTACTTTTTTGCATTTCACTTAGGTTAGCCATAGCCAATCTAAACAAAACATTCATTTTATTAGTGTGGACAAAGTTCTTCAGGTTGTCATCTATAAAAAAATGCTGATGTGTCCAGACTGGGGACAGTGCAGAAGATGTATTCATTTGAAAAGAAAACATTTCTATTAAAATGAAAGAGGTAAATATATTAAAAAACTGTTGAGTTTTTAAATTATTTTAAAAAACTTGAGAACATGTTCCAAGCCTAAATGAACCAGTGTTGTTGTGAATGATACCCTAAAAATTTCACCAAGGGTGCCGCTTACTAAATGTTTTGCAAAAAGTAAGGGTCTGTGTGCTGCCAAAGGTGGTCCAGGAGAAGCCTAAGTGTTCAGGTGACACTTGGGAACTGCTGACACTGAAGTCGTTGGCTGTTTGCTGACTGTGAGGATTAAAATTATCATTGCCTACAAAACCATCTACTCCTCAACACGTGAAAAGAATTGCAACTACATTTATTAAACTACAGGACAAGCTTCTCCAGTGACCTCAGGGTGTGTTAAAATAGAGGATATTAGGTCCCATTCAGTTTGCAACTAAGATTTACGATGGGATTTATAATGTGAGATGGCATTTCAGCCTTGTTTAAAAAATATTGCAGTTCATGTATGATTTGTTTAAAAAAAACCCAAAACAGAAAAAAGAATTCAGGTGCTGGAAGATACATGCCATGGAGGCATGCAAACCTCTGCCTGCAGGTGGCCAGCTAGGTTTTATAGGAATGATGCCATGAACAAATAAAGCAGCAACTTCCTTCTGCAGATCAAAAAATGCTCTGGAAAAGTTATTATATTTACAGTTAAATCCTCTTAGCTTGACCAGGTTCAGGACACTATCATATATGACTAGGCAAACACTCACTTATGAGTTCCATAAAGAATTAAAAATACCTCTCATTTTCATGCAGAAACCTTATTTCTGCAAAGCACTCAACTGAGAGTCAAAAAGAGCAAGCCTAGCCACAGAGAAGGATGTCACAAAAATGGCAAAACCAATTCCAGCTGATACTGCTAACGGCATTTTGAGTATTCCAGGCCCTTTGCACGGGAGGAATAAAGGTAGTGTCCCTGCTGCCAAAGCCACCAGTACCAACCCCAGGCTGTGAGAAGGCTGACCTGGCACTGTGATTTGTCCATTAAACAGCCACCAGACATTAACACCTTGCAGTCTGTGCAGGATATTGACTGGTAACCTCAGTGGGTCGAGTTATTTATTCCCTCTTGTTAGGTGGGACTTCTTGCTCTTTCTCATCTGTGTATATCTAAAAGTTAGGCATCTAGGCTCTCTCCAGGGCCAGAGTGAAAACCAAATCCTTTGAGAGCAACTCATCCCTTTCTTCAGTGCTAACTGCAAAAGCAGCATGAATCACTCCAGCTAGCAGCCCAACTTTTAGATGGAAGAAGTGCAGTGAGACAAAGTTTACCCTCAGGGTTTAACCTGACTCCAAGGTCCTTCAAAACCACACCAGAACCTTTTTTTTTTGTTGTTGTGACAAGTGAGCTAAGTTACAGAGTGCAGCTCACGCTCAGGTTTTTGTTCTCATGCTTGCACGTACCTGGTTAGGTGCTTCTGGTGGCATGGGGGATGGCGATTTGGACTGGAAAGCATCCTGGGACATGAATCCAGAATCATGGGAGGACACACTGGACAGCCTCATGGGTGCCTGCTGAGGCAGATTGGAGCTGCGATAGCGATAGTGTGAACTAGGTGAGTGCGAGTGCGAGCCACTGGACCGGGAATCACTACTGTTAACGCTGTTCAGACTGCTGTGAGAGACAAAAGGAACAAAGAAAGGAAAGGGGAGAGGAAAAGACACAAGGGCGGGGTGGGGAGAGACCCATATACAGTACAATTAACATTCCACATGTCTCTAGCAACAGGCAGCATAAACCGGAAAGAAAAAATGTTGACAAATTAAATTGAAATATATATATATATGCACATATATATCAGTAAAGAACTGTAAGCAGCTGCAGTATCCCTGACGACCAGAGAGAAAATGGCATTTTAACCTTGAATTGACTCAAAAGATCAAATTCTGTAACCACTTCAAAGTCAGGTTAGGGACGAAGGGATCGCTACATGTCCCCTATACCATTTGCACAGCACTTTCACAAAACACGTCTGCAGACAGTGCTCTCCTGTTCCTGACTTACACCTTGTTGCTCTTGCACTGTGGCCCAAATTTTCAATGAGATCTCTAGCAGGGGGCCCAAAGGCATCACAGATCATCGAAAAGTCTGCCTCCAGGCATGCTATTGCAGTCAGTCAGCTGGCCAACCTGTCAGGCTTTTGAAAGCATCACCAAAAACCCTGCATTTCAGAGCACCTGGGACAAGTTTCACTCACATGAAAGCTTTCTATCAGCAAAAATGCATGTGATGGCCTATTGAGTGAAGTCAAGCCTCTGGGCACGTAGCCTTAGTTGGTAAGAAAGATGATCAGAGAATTAAACACCCTGAATTAACATCCATGAAAAAAAATAAACATTTGATTTCTCAAACAAAGAGATGGATTTTTAATCTCCAGCACCCATGGACAACAGCAGTGACATGCCAGCTGCAACGTGGGAGCCTTTGAAGTTCCCTGTTGGGGAAGCTAAGCAGGACCAGCAGGGTGCATCCCTCTGAAGGCAGCTTCCTACCTTTGCTGGCACAGCCCACCAACTAGCTGAAGGGATGGCTCTAAAGGACACATGGGCGAGGGCTGCACCTCCTGCTCACAAATTCCATCTCACACACAAGATGTACGAGTCAGCTTGGAGCAGGGAAAGAGGAGCTCTGCCTTATTCCACCCATACATAACAGCCTGGTGCCATACAGGCTTCATCACACAAAAAGACTAGGTCATTTAGGAAGAGATGATGGAATTTCGGGGCTTTTTCTTTTTGCCATTTTCTTTTACAGCTTCAGGATATTGCATCTTTAAGCCTGTGCTTGTTGCTCTAAATATGCATCTTTTCACACATATATATAAAAGTACTGAAGTTTTTTTTTTATATATATCTGCATGCAGAGAACAAGTAGGTACATAGAGGAAGTCATGTTCCCTTGCTCTGACATGCTACAGGTAACTTTGCTCATACACAGGGAACCTGTAGTACATTATTCATAAAGCAAACTAAAAGGTAATAATTTGAGAGCAGCTAGAAAGGTGTTGCGCAGAATACACAATAGGGTATCTTCCTTTTCAGCAAAAGGAAAGAGTAAATGTAGACACCAGGGTATGGGGGCAACATGCTAATAAACTGTTTTGTGAGAGAAAACAGTTTTAATGGAGAAAGCATAGACAGAATCCAGTGTTTCAACATATTTTTCAGGACAGCATTAGACAGTATTAAACAGTCAAAAGAACTTCTATCAAAAAAGCATTTCCATCTACCAGACTGATAGGGCAATTGCCAAGGATGTTTTTCCTTTTCAAACGGTTTAACTTACTGATTAGTAACAGCTACTTAGAATAATCTAAAAAGTCATCACATGAAAAACAGAAAAGGAAATTATGAATGAACAATCTCAGAGCTTAGATCAGTACAGTATGCTCTTTGATCTGAAATGGATTCAAGAGAACTGAATCAAAAGCATCTTCAAGTTGTCTTGAGTTCAAAAGTTGTTCAGTCATGCCCATCCTTTTTAATATTCCCAGTCACACACTTAAACGGATAAAGACCATGAGGGATTGACTTCATTAAGAGTTGTTAGTTAAGATTTAAGTATGCATACAAATCCATACCACAGTCTGAACTTGCCTCCCTTTGCCCCCAAACAGGTTAAAATTAAGTATTACCCGTCTACTTACCTGCAAACACTAGATTTTCTGGACATTGTGGTACTGGGAGAGGATGGAGGAGTCTGATAAGACCAGCTGTAATCAGAACCTTTCAAATCTAAAATTACCTGATGAAAGATAATCAATAGCATCAAGGACGTGGAAATTGTTTTTCCCTTATTAACAGAAAGCACCTGCTTGTTACACAACATTCGTCACCACTACAAACTGTCAGTGCCAATTGACCCAACCCAGAATTACACTGTGTATGCTACAGAAGAGAGCCAGCTTCATGCTTGGCTTTCCAGGAACTACCACACTTCAACACTAGGGCTGCTATAACAAAAGGAAAATTCAGATTTGAATGGAAAAATCTTTAAAAAGTAAAGCTGGAGATCTATTTTATCCATGCTGTAAGCTATTTTGGTTTGGGTTTTTTCCTTAAAAAAAACTATTATCGCCTTAGAGTTTAAGAACTGTCACATTTTAAAAAATCAATCGAAGATCCAATATTCAACCACAGCAGTGCTTCCCTCTTTGTGCTTCCAGGTCAATGATAAGGTGATTAATGTATGACAAGAAAACTGAGTTCACACAGCAGGCTTGGAATCACTTAGTGATACACATTTTCCTATGCATTTTAAGGACAATATGGAAAAATGTTCAAACGTTAAGACTCCATCCCAACAATCTTGCAACCACATAAAGACAGGGATGCTCAAATGTAGGGCAAGGAGATGACAACAATTTCTCATGTACCCTCAGCAGAAACTGGGCATTTTCATACACTTCAAAGTGCTACCGCTACCACTTCACACTGATCTCACCAAATACTTCAGGAGCACTCAGTTGGTACTTCAACACAAAATGTTTTAAACTGCTCATGTTAAAAATTACCTTGCTGCAGTGAAGCATCTACAAAACATAACATTAAGCCACTAAATGCTAGTAGTCAATAGTCCTTATGACACAAAAGGAAAACTGGTACAAGCTACAAAAAAAATGTTTTCTGGGTAACAAGAGCTAACCTGTTCACTTGAAGATGGCAATTTGTGTGGATCCATGGTGAGACTTTTCAGATCATCTGATATGGTTTGTAAATGGGTTATTTCTCCTAGCATTGATATTTCTTCTTCCTGAAAAAACAGAAGAGCAAGCCTAATCACAGCCTAGGTTTTAAAAATCAGACCCGTAACACAATACACGACCTTTTTCTTTTTGCTGATGACTGTGGGAATGCTCAGCAAGAGCTGCTTTTTTCTTTGCCCATTAAGCAATCACTCCTTATGAAACAGGGCTGGAAATACTAATTTAGAGTTGTATAACTACTTTAACATTGCTGCAAGTTCTGAGGCCCAGAAATCCTTTCTCTCGTGAATGAGATATGTCTCAGCCTTCTTTTTTGTGACATCTTCAGCAAAACAGTGTCATTTTTGATGCGTTTGGAAAAGATTTAGCTCTTCTGTGTATACTCACGAATGTGCCCTAAGGATTTTAACCTTGAACCTAAATAGGTGTTAAACTCATACTTCTTGCTAGTTTTTAGAAACTTAGAGATAAAGGCACTACAGAGGTATAAAACATTAATGCATCTATGATTCATTCTGGCTCAAGATACATCAATAGCTAATTCAGAGGATTCCTGCACCGTAAGTTACCATAGTAATGCCTCAGCTACCATGGTAATTTCATCCAGGTCCTCAGAGTCTGTAATTCACCTCCTCCTGCTCAGCCATCACCTCCCCACTCCTCTAACCATAGTTTTCTGTTGAGACTGATGCTCTTTGTAAACAAGCATTGGGAACGTTTTCCCAGTGCGCTGGAGACCCTTCAGAAATGCATCATGCTTGCACAAAGCCACAAAACGATTCATCGCCGGGCTTCAGACAACCTGAGATTATGAAAATATACTTAAACCTTTTCAATGAACTGAAAAAGCTGTCATGTAGGAGGAAAAGAGCTGCCAGAAAACCGCACGGAAGCAGCCTGCAATCTGTCAGATAATGTCATTATATACACAGGGGAGGTCCTGAAACATTCATCAGTCCTAGCAGTAGTGTAGGAGTAAGGAAGATTTATATTAAAATGTGATTTTAAGAAAAAAAGCTGTAGAAAAAAATGCATTAGTAATGTCTCAGGTCGGTATGCATTGGGAACTCAAGCCCCCTTCAGTCTTTGTGCCCATTGTTTTCCCATTAGTCATCTTGAAAGCGCTCAGTGCCTTCGATTTCTGAACTACTCCAAATGCCTACAAGAAAGAGTCCAACTCTTGCCACTTCCTAGACAGAGATGTAGGCTGAATTTTGGCTAGTTTTTATGGCTACATGCCTAAGATATAGCAAACTACTCTTTTTAGAGGCTTTTGGCCACTCATCCAGTTTGTGAATTGTACAGACTTAAACCAGAGAGCTCTTACTATCACGGGTCGCAGCATCGAGATGAAGGTACAGAATCGACCGCGCTCCTCGATCAGAGCTTTTCTGACAGCTTGCTTCTCGGTTTCTTCAAGCAGCAGGTACTTATCATTGACATCTTGTAAAGCACTATCCAACTGGGGCTGAATGTCACCCCGTCCTGTATGCAGGAAACAATCAAGAGTACATTTTGTCAAAACTGTGCATCTCCATAGAGGATGACCTTATTTTCAGCCAGCACTGCTGCCAGATTGTGCTTTTGCAATTCAAGTCTCAATCAGCATCTTCACTTAATTCAAATTAGTAAGGCTTTTTTTTTCCCCAATTAAGTCAAGCATTTGATAGCATTTATTATTTTTCCTTTTGCATAGAATAGAAATCCATCTCAATTCAAAAAGTTTCAACAAGCCAAAGACAGCATTTTACATAAGGATCTTCTCCAAGTATAAGCTGTATAAATTTTTCCCATCATCCTTGCTGAAAATCAATAGCTTACTAATTGGAAGGATATTAATTACTAACCCCAGGTCTTCTTCCTTCCTACTTCTGTGCTGAGCAAGATCCTAATGACAACTCTGTAGAGTCACTAAAGGATTGAATAAACCTCCTATATGAGATGATATTAGGAACATGTTACTGATCCTTGGACCACTGGTTTCAAGTTCTCTACACGAGCAATGGCTAAAACAGTTTTCTTTGTTCCAAAGTCCAAAAGAAAAAAAACACTATCAACATCTCAAATGCATATTAAGTTGCAGTATTTGTCTATGGAAATAAAAATATCCAATGTTTTGCAATCAAAAAGCTTCACTGTGATATTTATAGTCAACTCATAATACCAAAACTTTCTGTGACAGTTAAGCATCTTTTTCGGCACCAACGGCTTACTCTGCATCATGCCAAAATCATCCCCCCAGGAATGAAGAGCTGCTGCTCAGCCACAGTATTACTGAGTCAACGACGTGCAGTTGCAAGGTGTTTTCATGCAGCTTACACCCATAAATATTCTAAAGAACCTCAGTTGTGTAAAATTGTCTCAAGTCTCCCAGGAACACCATCACATGCAAATTAAGTATCCAGGTACATATTCATGCCACTGTTGCTAAATACTAGGAAGACAACATGGAAAAATGGTGGGTGAGTTACAAGGAGTTACCCCAAAATTTTTATGGACAATAACCTTTCTGCGCAGAGAATTTAAAACTATGAGCAAGAGGAAGAAAAAAGTCTCCTGATGTGTGTAGCACACAATGCAGATGAATCAAGGTCAGAATTACAAAGGAAAACATTTGCCATATCATCGTATGTATTTCTCCAATACTCCAGAGCGAGGTGAAGTCATCAGCTCCCCTGCACTAACGCACAGCCAGAGCTGCAGGAAAGAGAGCAGTGATGGAAGCAAAGAGGATCACACTGGCTTAGTGGCATCACAGATTGGATATATCCAAATCTCCTCTGGACAGAGTCAGACACAGTCCAGATAAAACTGGGCACACACAAGCAGAGCTCTGCAATGGATCCTTGATGAATAATGTCTGGCCCAACACCAACACGGCCACCACCAAGTCCACCTGGGTACCTAATTGCCAGCAGGAACATCCAGTGTCTGACCCCCTAAATCAGGCAGAGCAGTGCAATGTGGTCATAAAACTGTTTTGGAAGTATGTAATTTCAAAAATAACTCAGTGAAGTTGCAGTCACCTGCTTCCTCTCAAAATTAGCATCTGCCAGAAACAAGCCATAGAAGAGTTTCTGACAACTCCCTGAAGGTCCTGTGCCTTCTTGTCACTTAGGAGACAAACTGGGCCCTTCTGCTTGAAGATCAGTCCGTACATTTCAGCCCCTCCCCATACTCTCCTTTGCTATCAGATGCAGCGATTAAACATCTTATATTTCTCTGGAATGTCTTTTGAATTCCTGGAATGCAGACTTGCATTATTGCTCAGACTCTTCATTTTGAGAGCTGCCTGGAAATTACAGCAGGTGAAATAATCTCCCATTGTTTAAACCTGGGCACTGGCTCACAAGTGGGGATGTACCAAATGCAAAATGTATTAGTTGCAAACTAAATCACACACTCATTAGTTCAGCTCCAGAGAACTGCTGTAAACATTCAGCTGCTCCACCATATGATCATGTACTTAAAACAGTAAATCCTTGTTAAATGCACGCGCCTACGCAGTGAGAAGACACAGACTTAGAAAGCAACTGGACTCCATTGATAAAGTGGGTTTAAATATAGTGAGTTTTGGTAATTTACACAGACCTCACAGAGCCACACATCATGGACCAGAGCAACAGAGCACCCAAAACATGGGGCAAAAATAAGCCTTGTTTACACCTGTGTAACTCAGTTCATCAAAGTATCAGGATAGCGCTTGAACTGTGTATTTTAACCCTTTGGCAAAAGCACGTGTAAAACTGAATCGTTCTCCAACACCCTCTGGACCTCTACAAAGTTTCCAGTTCATTCCTTGAGCTGGGTCAGGACATTACCAGACAGACCCTCTCCTCACCCCTACTTTCACGGACCCATTATTGTGCTATGGCTCTTGGGCACCTCTGTAGTCTGAAAACACACAAGCTGTGCCGGGCATCATTCCGAGCAGGAAACAACCTCAGGCGAGTCATTTAGATGAGGTTCTGAAGTCAGATGTTTACATGGCATGAATACAGCTCTCTCCCGATGTCTCCTTGCAACTCATCTTTTAGGAAAGCTTTATTAACATCATTTGAAAGCTCCATAATGCAGACATCAATCTAGCGAGTCTTCTGAAATCAGGCATAACTCTTCCCACTCCCTGAATCGCCAGCTGCCTCCCACAGCACGCAGACAGCTCAGCACTTTGAGGGACAAGTCTCTGCCCAATTTAACCAGTTTCCCTCACTAAGCAGAGCGGAGCACAGCCTCTCGACAGCACCACTACACCCAGAGGACGCGGAGAATGTGACAGCCAACTGCTGATCACCTCTGCTCCTCACCCACCTTGGGTCTCCACTAATTTGGATCCACTGCCTATCTCAAAAGGGAACACTGACCACTACAGAGCAACGCAGTTCTTTTCCCTGCAAGGGAAGGTCACTATGGCTTCTCTGACAACTGATTGCACTATTTTTGATGTGGACACGAGGCACACTTTCATAAGGAACATCAGCAGTTGACTATTCTCTCCAGCCCACATTCTCTGGCCTTTAGGTTCACCCATTCGGAAATATTTCCAAACCAACACAACTATCGTAATGACAAATATTGTTCCAGAACAGTCTCATCACAGAGCAGCTCCTGCTCCAGCTGCAGACAGGTTTGAATGACCCACCAAAATAATCAGCATTAGAAATGGTCAAAAGCACCAAATATAGTCGCAGGTCTCTGGTCTGGAACCAGCCAGACATGAATACGATGTAGGGGTGGCTCTGCAGAGCACGTCCGGTTGCACTCGGAAGAACAAGTCAACAATCTGCAAACCAAGAAGAAATTCAGATCCAGCTTTTCTCAAAGTGGAGCCCTGGTGTTGCAGAGAGGGGCAAAAATGCAGGAGCAGAAGTTGTGGACTGACTTCTTCAGCTGCACCATGGTCCAACTGCCCTGGGACTTGTGGCTTGACACAGGCAAGTAACAGCTAATGAACTGCAGAGAGCTGAACTGCTTCTCATGGGTATTAACACGAATCCACCGCTCCTTCAAGAACAGTCTTAATATGTTACCTTCAGAGTGGGTGCTTCACATCATTATCATGCTGTGGAAGAGGTTTAAAGGACCAACATGCACTAAAACCTCAGTTTTAGTGTTCTGTGTGAATCCCATTTGAAAGCCTCATGCAGCTTCTTAAATAACTATTGTTTGAAAAGAACTTTGGTAAAGAAAATGTATTAGGGAGAAGAAAAAAGGTAAATCTAATTTTCAACCCTGTTTGATGCCTATATATTATAAGACAACTTAAACCAGCAAAGCCGTAGCAACAGCGAAGGAGAATGATGCTCTCAATGCAAGTCTGACCACTGAAGCTAATGCTGTTATTGACAAATTAATGCAGATAATATTGGTGAAATTATTATTTTTTCACATTTGCACTTGAGTGTTCTCTCACGCTTTTTCCAGGTGTCTGCACAGAATCTGAATATTCAAGATGGACACTTTAGAGTGACAATTTACACTGTATGAGACAATGCTGAGTATGCCTCTGCCCATACAAACCAAAGTAGGCTCCAAGTTATTCATTCCCAAACCACCTTCTTCTCAAGAGCATACCTGCCTCAGCTGTCAGGATGAAAGTCCTGCACAGTCAAGCCAACAAATAAACTTATATGGGTCTAGGCAGAGAATGGAAGAATTCTGCCTCTGTTTACACAAAGGTGGAAAACTTCATTGCTGGGGTTAACGTCAGACCCCTTCAGCAATCAAATCTGCATCTTTCTGGTGGCTACTGGAGATCTGAATCAGCCGCTAATGTTCAAAAATGGTTAAGTTGCTCCTTAAAAGAACAGCTCCAAGTTACCAAATGAAGCTTCCAGATACAAACCAGGAAAAACACAAAGAGTGGTTTCAAAAAAGGGGACAGACAGCATGCACCACATTGCCCAGCTCCAGGCGTCCAGCCGAAGCACCTGGGTTAAGAGTCTCCCAATCTAATCAGTCCAGGCTTCTCCAAAGGGCAACACCTACATCATTACACCTACAAGAGCAGGTGTGATTATTTCTCTCAAATTCAGAAAAAACACGTTTCGTTCACAAGAAGATCTTAAGGCAGCCACTTTAAACTTGCAATACAACTGAAACAGCACTCCGATTTAAACAGATTTGAGATGTGATCAGGCAGCAAAAGAGGAGACAACCGTGATGCTCATTTCCACCCCTTCCCCAGCATGAAGTTAAGTAAAGTGATTTCTTATCTATTGGTTAAGAAAGGTGCATGCGATCAGAGAAAAGGGGGACTTGGATCACAGGTTTACAAAGAACGACACTAAGGACTTTAAGCTCTAGACTTTAAAGGTCATATTAACAATAAGAAATTCAATTATTTGAACATCACCTTGATGACATGTCTATTCCATTTAACTTCTCTCCCAACTGTGACAAGATTTATCAGTCCATGTTATTCCCTTTCTAAAATAAACCAGAGGTTTATCTGCAATACTGATTTTCTTCTTTTACAGTGTTCC